TACTAGTTTGTTTGCAACCTTAATTCTAATGTCTTGCTTTCTCTGTGAGGATTTAACTTCTAACCCAAAATGCATACCTAATGCGATCAAGTCATCCTTTTTTAACGAATCAAAAACCTGAACACTTGGTGAACTAAGAAAGTCTGTGACCGAAAACACCATGTTGATTTCTGCTGGCTTATAATCAAATTTAACGGTTCAATAAACAAAATTTTGACAATAAACTGCAAAAGTGCAAGAAATTCTTTATCCCGGACGAGCCCCCAATTCTGTTATGGGTCAGAATAACCCTAAATGCCAGCAAAGATCAATCACACAGTTTAAACTTAACAATAATTTATTTACAGTAATATACAAATCATTAAGTACAAACTTAGCAAAAATCTAAAAATACATACTTCAGAGTGTCCGTTGCTGCACACAATGTCCCAGTGAAATTATATCCCAGTAATACGTACCTCAATGATGCTTGTATGACAATCGTCTCCTATGAATCGAATTGACAGGGTATTTATACAGTATCATAAATCTAGAATATTCTAGAAATTGTAAGTACATGATATTACTGGAAAGTTCTGGATATACAAAGTTCAAGAATGTTCTAGAAGATTACCGAACATGTTGACCACTCTGGAATGTTCAAGAAACGTAATGTTACTAATAATAGACACGATGAAACAATACAAATACAACACACCTCACAACAACTGTAAAACGTGCAATGCTCCGGTATGTTTCCAGTGTAATTCCACAGAAAACACAAAACATTTGATATTAAAAGGGCATATAAAACACACCGAAAACAATATAAAGAAATCGTTCATAGTATCAGAGGCGATACACTTTATAACAGCTGTTTTCTTCTTGCAGAAATCAAAGCCGATTTGAAAACTTTTCCGAAGAAAATTATAAATTTTTATTCCGATGTTTCAACAAAAGCTCAGAAATTAAAAGACCTCATAGATATTAAGATTTTTACTGATAAAATCAAATTGAGAGGTTATATAATGGATAGATTTCAAAAACAGAGTAGAAAAATAAAAAGACACATTGCAGACATTCAGAACTTTGAATATAGATCTGAACAGCCATCAAACAGATCGGTAAAATTTCTCTCAATACTGAAAAATTCCAGAATTCACAAAATAAAAGACACACCTAAACTTAAACGTCATATCATGCTGTCACTGAAGGAGGAAACCTTCATGAAGGATGTGATAAGGTTGCTGAGTGAAATCCAAACCAAAGAATCGGGGAAAAGACAAGTTAGAAATGAATGTCTGCTAAAACTTATGCCTGCGCCTAAATTACTCAAATGGATCGAGACAGAAGTTAGTGAAGTTACACATATTTCCTGTCTGTCATCAGCTAGACCGCGTCTGGATCAGCGATGTGATGGAAATCAAGATGTTCCTTACAAACATTGAAGGAGAAAAACTACGTCATATAACAGATATGGTTTATACTTTTGGAACTGTTGGATATCATGCAGTAACCTCTACCTGTGATCTTATTTATGTCGACGCTGATGGTAACATGATTAAACTATCCAAAAATTACAGAAAAAACACATTGATAAAGAATACTGAATCAAGAAAACCATCTTGCTTATATATCTCACGATTAACAGGAGATCTGCTGGTTGGCATTTGGGATATAGGAAAGGCGGGCATAGTAAACCGTTACAACAGCACAGGAAAACACATACAGACCATTCAAAACAAATTATGTAGTCAACCAGTCTACATCACGGAAAACCGAAATGGCGATATTATTGTGTCTGATTGGGATCGTAAGGCTGTAGTGGTGACAGAGCGTGGAGGAAAACATCGTTTCTCCTACACAGGACGTTCTTCATCATCATTACCGTCAGGAATCATGCCATGTGGAATATGTACAGACGTGTTTTCACTAATCCTCGTGTGTGATGCAAACACCCGTACAATACATGTATTAGACAAGGATGGTAACCAACTGTCGCAAATATGGACAAAACAACAAGTGAAATACTTTCCACATAGCCTGAGTTATGATGAGAAAACTCACCGATTGTGGATTGGATTCAGCAACAACAGAGTGTGTTTATTCAGATATATAAACCGACAAGACATTTCGATACGTAATTGTGATCCCCACTAAATAAATAAATAAATACACAGTGTATACATGGTACATGTATGTGTATACATAGATTCATTAGAATAAAAATATCAGATACAAACAGACATGGAGCTTTTTACAGGTCATTATTTTTAAATACACCATATAGGTGCCAATATTTACCAATATAAGTTCATTTTCTCCTTTATCATAATTATATAGCTAAAACATCTCCCATTCAGTGATATATTATAATTATTTCAACTAAATAACTCAAATTTATAAGAAATTAACGCCTGTCCAATAATACGTCGCACAAAATCAACATTTCTGAACGAAAATAACTTTTCAATATATTATTATGCCCCCGTAAATGAAGTGTCGGAGGGTATATAGTTTTTGTCATGCCCCTCTGTCTGTTTGTCTAGATGTCTCTCTGTTTGTCTGCAAAAACCTTAACATTGCATATAACTTTTGATTTAATGAAGCCATGACTTTCATATTTCACATGTGTATAGACCTTCCTTTCGGTATCATCAAATTTGACCATGACCTTGGAGTTTGACCCACGTTTACATGGAAATTTTAAACTTTCTACTATGGCTGTATCTCCGTACAGTTAATACCAGAACATTTATAATTCACATAATAATGTATTCTTTGTAGAGAGACCCTTCATTGGATACCAACAATTTTGATCCTTTGACCTTGACCATGTAGATTTTTGTACTTGCAAAAAAATCTTTAACCTTGGCTATAACTTTTGAACAGTAATGGATAAGGCTTTCATACTTCATATAGGTAATACTTGTGAGAAGACCTTTTATTTGATATCAAAAACTTTGACCCCTTGACCTATGAGTTTGACCTACTTTAAAAAAAAGCAAACATTGACCATAGCTTTTAAAGGGTAAGGACTACATGTACTTTACAAATTTAATCCTTGTGACAAGTCCTTTCATTTGTGATCTATACTTTTAAAAGATTAACCTTGGCCATAACTTCTGAATGATTAGGGTTAGGGCTTCATACTCTACATAAGTATTCATGTGGAAAGAGCTTTCATTGGATACTAATTACCCTGACCTTTTGACCTTGACGATTGGCCTACTTCCAAATTTCACAACTGTTTTCCAGTGAGAATATCCTACTTCTTACCAATTATTTAAATTTGCATTTAACAAAAGTTTAATCTTTGCTATGTTTCCATAAGGGGCATCAGTGTTTCACATGCACATTTTATTATACTAAATTTGGACTTTAATCTGTGAAATTCCTTCAAATTATTCCGTTTTACTATGTTCTTATATTGAATTAACTGCTTTTTTCAAAGCTACAGGGCTCATGTGAGCGATGTGGCCCATTGCACTCTAGTTTTCATAAGTACGGAAATCTCCAACGTCATGGTCAAAAGTGTTGGTATCCATAAAAGGTTTTGACACAAAGAATACATATGTGAAATATAAAAACCCTAGTATCCACCAATCAAAAGTTATGGCCGAAGCTAAAATTAGGAATTTTTGTGTAAAAGTGGGTAAAACTCCAAGTTCAAATTTGGTTGTACTCAAAAAAGGTCTTGTCACTAGGAACACACGTGTGAAATACGAAAGTCATAGCTCCACTAAAGCAAAAGTATGAGCAAGGTTAAAGTTTTTGTGACGGACAGACTGACAGACGAATGAGATTGAATGTCCCCTCTCTTTGGCGAAAGCAGGGGGTAATAAACATAAGTTGGGTGTCACAGACAATCAAGCTAAGTTAAAAATCACCGAATTGTGTTCTTCTGTTTTGATAAGAGCCCTTTGATAAGGGCAAGGAATGTTTGCAAGTTAAAATACGAATTAAATTCTGATTTTGTACATGTAACTGTGTAAAACAGACAAGTGCCTGTAAATCAAAGTACTGAAAGCACTCATGGGAATTGAACATGGTGTAAAACAACATCTTTGATCGGGAGGGTAAGTAAGTAAACCATATTATTATTTCAAATGCAGAAAACTGAGTGTTTCAGAGATTTTGAGTAACAACAGTCTTGAGAAAGATTTTCAGAGACATTGAATAGCAAAAAAATGCATGGGCCATAATGCTTAAATTGCCTGCCTACATTAATCTTTTTTTTATTCCCCCTGCTTGAAAAGCGGAAATGTATTTATTAAACAGGATTTCTGTCCATCTGTTTGATACGCTTTAGGTATACCCATCTCTTATCCGCAACTCCTCTTACACCACTGAACGAAATTTTAATAAAATCCTTATTGCATATTGCGGTTGTGCTTCTTCTATTACTTTTTCATCCTACACATATTTTGGGTTTCCCATTGCAAAACATGGACACTGCCATTTTATTCAAATTGAATGCCATGAAAATATCCAATTTTCTACATTATTGTGCTGAAACCGTAAAGTATAGGAAGAAGAATTCTGAAATTGATTATATGACATCATAATAGATCTAGCACCATAAAATCAATACAAAATTATTTATTATATCTTGACTTTGTCTCAAAACAATAAAACAAAAATTAACAGAAATAAAAAATTTATTTTCTGATTTCACATCAAGTGGTGGCCAGTTGGGATTAGATTTTCTCCACGCCCTGTCTGAGTTTGTCTGCGGGGATCAGCAGTACAGTCCTGAAGGCCTCAAACTGATCCTCAGAGTCCCAGGTCCCCATCACTACTGTGTCTCTGTCGGCCTGGACTGAATACTGGAACTTAGCATCACTCACCTACACATAACAGTATAAAGACAAGTTTATATCTATCAATGTCAATTTTTCAGGGTTTCTGGGGGTTTTTTGGGTTTTTTTTTTTTTTAGATTTTTTTAAAATTTGCCAAAAAGCCACCTACATCATGTACATGTATAACACTCCTTTTTAATTTCAAATTCAATGAAACTATTATTGTAATTTTTCAAATGCAATTAGTGTAATCAATTTAGATACAGGCAACTTCACAACTCCATTCCATATTTTTAAAAACAGGTTTGGCGCAAGAAATGTATTCCGCAAACGCGCCCGCCTATGATCCACCATCAGATTGTTCAAAGGTTCAATACAACTTTTCCAGATTTATTGTGTATCTCCAAACTCTTTAAAATTTCAATTGTTTCAAATCCACGCTGATTTAGGAGTTTTTCAACCCTTCTTTGGATTTTCAAAGGGCGTGACTTTCTCGGCGCTACGTAAAAGCGAATATTAGTAGATTCTCATTGGTTACGAAATTAATAACATCAGGAACTTTAAATTGTTGTTGATAACGATGAGACGACTTATGCCCCACCTCTGTGTCATGAGAGAACTTATAATTGGCTATTTACTACATTCGACCGCATCTCTATCACATGTATATTTCAACAGTGATGGGAAGCTGTGTAAACAGAAGCTAATTAGGTAACGTCGAGAATGCAACGCCTTACTGAAAGTCCATACTAAGCCTGTAATGGTAATAAGTGGCGCTTAACATGCTTTTTGATTAGAAATATCCAGTAGTATCTACCTATTACTAATAGAGAACGTTTTGTTTATTAGTCCCCTACCGGTGAAACCGGAGGGGACTATAGGTTTCCTCTGCGTCTGTCCGTCCGTCCGTCTGTCCGTCCCCGTCAGTTGTCCCACTTGGTTTTCCGCACTTTTTTTCTAAACGCTTGCAGATATTGAGCTGAATTTTGGTATGTGAGTGTATCTTAATGAGTTACAGATCAAGTTTGAATTTCGTTTCGCTTCATTGATTTTTGACAGAATTATGGCATTTTGAATATTTTTCATTCCCACTTGGTTTTCCGCACTTTTTTTCTAAACGCTTGCAGATATTGAGCTGAATTTTGGTATGTGAGTGTATCTTAATGAGTTACAGATCAAGTTTGAATTTCGTTTCGCTTCATTGATTTTTGACAGAATTATGGCATTTTGAATATTTTTCATTCCAACTTGGTTTTCCGCACTTTTTTTCTAAACGCTTGCAGATATTGAGCTGAATTTTGGTATGTGAGTGTATCTTAATGAGTTACAGATCACAAGTTTGAATTTCGTTTCGCTTCATTGATTTTTGACAGAATTATGGCATTTTGAATATTTTTCATTCCCACTTGGTTTTCCGCACTTTTTTTCTAAACGCTTGCAGATAATGAGCTGAATTTTGGCACGTGAGTGTATCTAAATGAGTTACAGATCAAGTTTGAATTTTGTTTCGCTTCATTGATTTCTGACAGAATTATGGCATTTTGAATATTTTTCATAATCGCTTAATAAACTAAAGATCGGGTTTGAACTGCGCTAACTTCCGATTGTCGACAAAAAAATATGAAGCGAGGAAAAGACGATGGATAAATAAGTTTAATTGTCCTCTTGATGTTTAGTATTTTATTAGATTTAAGGCATTTAGAACTTGAAAATTTTTCAGTGTAACCTTGGACATGACTTTTGCACATTAAAAAATGACATCCTGAAGAAAAAGGGGAACCCGGTAGGGGACATGTATTGCTTATGCAATACTCTCAGAATGCTTGTTTATTCTGAAGTAAAATGGCACATAAAAAGGGCCCATTAAGTATTGCTTAAGTGCACCTTTCCTTTAATTTTAAACACATAATTTAACTTAACTAGCTTCCATGAATACCTATAAACTTAGAATAATGTCTTAAACAGATATAAACATAACTTTTGAAATAATTTCAATAATGCAAAAGAGTTTTCCTCATAAATTTGAATTCAAATCAATACAAAATTGCAATTTTTTAATTAAATTGTAAATACATAAAATAAAATGGAAAATTTTAGTCAAGTTTGTTCTCAGTTTGTTCTTGGGGCCTGTTTTAATATAAAATTATATTTTTATAAATCAATGGCACTAAATGACTGACCTCCTGTAGATATTCCTCCTCTGCGTTGGTGAAGAACAGGGGACTATTTTTCTGGCCCTTTTGTCTGTATGTCTTACACAGTAGAATGTAATAAGAAAAGTCGTACTTCATCTTCTTATTCTTACACTTCTCCACTTCTTTTCTGTTAAAATTAATTTGATGAAGCACTTAAGAATATAAAAACTTAAGAATTTTAGAAGCATTCACTGTCTTGCTTTTCTTTTTTAGCAGATGTACAAAAGATTTGCGAGAATAGCTCTGCATCACAAAAATTGCTACAAAGCACGCATAAAAACAAATTCCAAGTCATGAACAGGCACATTTTGTTTTCTTGCAAAGTAAATTCTACCCCTTTTCCCAACATGACTTCTTGGAAAACATGGTTAATAGTGTTCATTAAAAATTTTAAAAACAGCAATACAACCTTCCCTGCATCTTACAAAACATTGTAAAAAAAAGACTGTATGTACTTACAGTAATGAGTCAAACATAGGTACAGCTATTTGTGGGGGGATGTTGATGTATCGTTCACTGACCAGCAGACCTACGTGGCGGTCACTGTCATTCAGGACCTTGCTGAACTTCTGATCTCCTCCACACTTCTGACACTGGTCAATCAACATTGACCGCACCTGCTTCACACACTCCATGTCCTTGAAAGCAAGCAATTGTCAAAACCCAGGTATTAGAATGTCAAGAATTGTCAAACAAGTTGATATGGGCACTAAATGTTTCTTTGACATTATCATGATTTTATCTGGGGTAAAAAAACAACTAAATATAGAGCTCACAAATAATTTTCAAGCAAAATGCACATTTAAATGGTTTCTAGCCTTTTTATGAATAAAATTTGAAACATGTGCACAGGAACTATTTTTTTTTTTACCAACATGCATATGATTGATATTTAATAAGCTTGGATTTTCTCTCTTTAATTATTTTAAGGATTCACTGTTCTTTTTTGTTGGTTATGCTAGGGCATCATCGATTTGGAAACATGGGATTAATTGCATTTTGTCCTCTGACCTATTTATCAATGATGTTGACCTCTGACCTATTTATAAGTGATATTGAACTTTGACATATTTATCAATGACATTGACATCTTACCTTTTTGTCTGTGATGTTGATGACTGAAGTAACTGCTAAGACTGGGTCATCTTCTGCCATTTCATCTTCATCATCATCTTCTTCAGGTACATAGGATTGCTGGGAAATTGAAAATTAGAACATTTTAATATTGAAATGTATGTATCGTAGAATTTATAAAAGCAACAGGTATTGCCTTGTACAAAAGAATTTTCCACTGAGACTAAAGCTTGCATGAATACAATCAAACTCCCTTATATTTGAATTTAATTGTTTTCTAGTTATAAACAGGAACTCTTCCAAGATTCATATTTTACAAATGCATTGATAAAAATCTGTTTATATATGGCAGCTAGGTTTCAAAATTGGTGGCATCAAGAAATAATATGTATCACTGTCTACATAGAACTTCGTAGCATGATCTACGAAATAAATATCGTTTGATAATCGCAAGATCCTTTTTTCTGTAAATGGTAAAAAATACTTACAGGATATCTTTTTTGTTGTTAAATAAGACATTTATGAAAGATTTTACATGTAAGACATTAGATTACCTTGACCACACTTCCAACTTGTCCCTGTGATATAATGATGTCTGCCATTTCTGACAAGTTGATGTTGGCTTTCAAAAAAAGCTGAAAATTAAAAACATGTTCTCTATTTTAGTCACATATAAACATGCTTTTTAAATTCAGACCAAATTTTATTTTTCTTTACAAATGCCAATCTTTAAGAATGTCATCTTCATTTCATGGGGGTGTCTGAAAGATTTGGAAGACTTTTAATAACTTTCTGGGTATGTTGTTGGAAGTCCTGATTGAATATATATTTGCATTACCACCTACATGTGAGCTGATCATTATACGATATGTACCTGCTGTAGAAGGGTCCTGATGCCATGGAAATCACTGCCCTCTGGAACTCGGGCCTCAAAGTCAACCTGTATCTCCTGTAAAATGGACATAAAATTACATAAATACAGAGTCTGTCAGATATGACTCATTTTATCTTTAATTTACAACAAAAATTTTATTTTTAATAATGCAGTAATTAAAAGAAAAGGCAAATCAAGTTTAAGTCAACTTCTTTACTGTTTTCAGATATTTTTTGTGTGTTTTAATTATTAATAAGTTCTAAAAAGCATTATTTACCATGTTTACAGGCTCGATGGAATGTCAAGAAACAGAATGTGTACTTCAATACAATAGTTCATCTTAAATCCTTTAAAATTTAAACCAATGTTTTTTTTAATTATATTTAAACCATCTATGCAAAATAAATCACACTACGGGGCATCACCGCTTCTAGTCCAATGTGCCATTTTTTGAGTCATTCAATGAGTTGTTTGATTGTTATAACACATTAAAGGATAAAATATCTCGCAAATACAAATACCAGAATGAATGCGATTAAAACTGCATGAGCTATCTACAATATTATGCATTAGAGAATCCTGATAGGTGGTAAATTTCATAAGTATTGAAGATTTCCTTGGTTCTATATTTTCATGTTTACCTTTCAATACTTGTTTTTTTAACTGAAAAATTGGATTGGTCCTGTGTTTTCATTGATTACATAGGACAAAATGTCTTGTGTGGTACAAAAAAAAAATTGGAACTGTTTTAAAATAATCAACATAAAAATTTAGAGGAAATTCAAGTTACACATGTGTCTTGCACAATACGCGGAAACTGTTGTGTTTACCTCGTTCACTTCCATTTCAGTCTCGCCGGCCATGTCTTCCCCGTCACTTGGATCCGACATTTGTTCAGCTGTATCTAATTCTCCAACTCTTTTCTTTTTAGTTGCCATTTCTTTTTATTTCTTGACAAACTGAAAATCTGAGATTGACGTGCTTTTCCAGAAAAAAATAACAGGAAGCAGTTTAGTGTGTGTTTCTCGAGCCCGACTTTAATTTCATGAATACCGAGCTTCCTTCGTCTTGCGTTGGTATATCGCTTCATATTTCTTTTTCCTCATAATAGATACACATTTTTACCAATAACATATTGAAAATATCTCAATTTTTTAAAAAGAAATAATAAGAATATGTTAAAATGCTTCTGAAATAAAAATAAAGGACAAGATAGGATAAGGCCCCTTTTTGGCCCTTTGGTCTTTTATATTATGAAAAAATCACACTGTCTCTAAAAAAAAAAAAAAAAAAAAAAAAAAAAAAAAAACTATTTCCTGTTGTCATCCCTGCCAAAAATGAGTATTTATGATCAGGTATGGAATACAAAGAGGTCACAGAAAGGACAAAAGATATCGTGTTTATTTCCGAAAATTCTCATTTTCCTGTAAAGATTTTTTATATCGATTTCACGACGCAGGTATAAGTGCATCACCTGTATTCATTCTTTTAGTACGATAAATTATTTCTTATTTATAACATATAGTGTACATACTACTATTCATAGAAATATACATTTATAAATATAACATACACACATAATTATATATTAAAAATTTATTTATAAAGTATTACTTGTATATTTTTTAATCATATATATTCATTATTTTAATGTATACTCATATAATAATAATAATTCTCATTTCGATTGCTATCTAAATTTTGAAGGATATTCATAGATTTATGATCTAATAAAAGAAGACACATAAGAAATACTCCATTGAAAATGCTTTACATATAAAATATATAATTGATAAACGTACATGTGTATGTGGATCCTAGCTGGATATATTAAGTATCATGAGTATGTACAGTGACAAAATGATACCAAGGATCAGAAAAATAATTTTAAATGTGCTCCAGATGCCTAACTTTGTGAGACACAATAATTAAGAATAACTTTTACTATACACCACATTAAATGTAGCGTTAGGCATACAACTGACCTGCAGGGATTTTCGGAAGTATAAACTACATGTATGTAGTGTCCTAACACTGAAAAAAAATAATTAGTGAAGTCACTGGAAGACTAGTAAAGGATGTATTCGCTTTAACAAAAGAATTGACCTATAGGAGAGAACAATTTCCCGGAAAAAGTGACATTCAAAAATTAATCTTTATTTGTTATTTTCTGTCGTATATATGTCTAAATTTTTCAAATTTGTATTTTATACTTAATATTTATTTTTTAAAACTGTACAATAAACCTCCAAAGTTGGCCAAAACACCATTTTGTCCATTAAATCGTTGGTTTTTGCATGTATTTTGACCTAGAAGTCCTTCAGGGCAGGCCTGCCCCTAAATAAAACTGTGATATTTTGATAGGTTGGGATGTAAAGAATAATTTAAGATAGAATTTTTTTAGGGGCACCCCTGCCCTAGGGTCGAAATTCACAAAAAACCTACAAAAATAAGGAAACCTGATTTTGATAATCCGCTTTAAATTTATGACAATCAAATGTATAGTCAGACTAGCTCAGTTGATATATGTGCATGACTATTACACTGACGATACTTTTTTTTTTAAAGTCGAGGGTTCGAATCCCCCTGGTACCACACTTTTAAAGTTTTAATTTTCCGCCTTTTCAAAGACTATTATATTTTTTTATAGACCTGTGCATTTACTTTCAATTATCTATCCTATATGCATGCCCATTCTTGCTATAAGGAATACTAAAGAGAGATCAGATCGTAACAATCCAATGTACAGTTGTCAGTCAGGCGGAACAATATAAGCACACTTTCTCCGAGGACAAGAAAAGCTCACTTTGTGTTACTCAATACAGGTATTTTTGGCAGCATTGAGCTGCGATGAATTACATTTGTATATATTCCTTAGAATTTAATCACATTGACTTTGTCTACATATATCAGAAACTGTTTTCCTTGGATTTCATTTAGGCCTATATATATTGCACACATTAATGGCATGTTTTAATATATCCACGGAAAAAATCCGTAGACATAAAGAATAGAATTTCAGAGACAGTAGACATTACCATTAAGCACAATGAGAAGTAAAGACAAATATCAATTATTATGTTTGGAAATAACAAACTCCGAAATCTATGAAAGGGTTCAGCTTCTATCTCTACTCACTGAAATAAAGATTTAGGAAAAACAAATTGTTATATGTATTCAGCCTAATGTCATTAATCAGAACGGAAATCGGCAAGCTTTTTGTAGAGAATAAAACCAAGCCCGGTCCTATAGGTCAGATCCCTATTTATAATGAAGTGATCCTTTATTGCCCATACAATCACTACCTTAAAAGTAGTTTTACTAGGTAGATAACATTAGTAAATCTAAGCATTCATAAGTAACTTTCACTAGGTATTTAAGTATCTTTACGACCATTACCCCACTTTTCACTATCTTAGCTATTAAACACAGTTATTACTTATCACTATCCATAAAATCACTACCTTAAAGCCATATATGGCGTATTAACAATGAAAGTTATTCGACTAAAATTATAAGAACTTATTATTTGTATCATTACTTTATAAAAAGATAGAACTTTTCGGTAAATTACAAAATCTAAGTCAATTGCGTTATAAAGATATCACAATTTAATTTATATTCTCGGAATTTTCTCCGACTCGGAAGAAAATACAAAAGTTTTAAATAACACATTACAGAGAAGATAAAATCGTATTATTCGATGAAACGAGGTGTTCTCCGTGTTCAGAATTGTGTGAAAAGCTTTAATTTAAATGTATTAACTATATTTCTTCACTTAATTTTGTAATTTTCAAAAATATATTTTTTGATCAGTTACGCCATATATGACTTTAAAAGTACAAAGTAGTTTAACTAGGTAATTCTATCAGTGAATGGGCAACATCGCTCACGAAGCACATTTAACTTTAAAAAGCAGTTATCACTTTATATATTCAAGAGTTTCTATATATAACTTATTTATCCCGTTTGATATTTTACTATTTTTCACTTTTGAGAGAGAGAGAGAGAGAGAGAGAGAGTTTTGTCGAAATATTTGATTAAAAAGTACTGATTGTAAGATTTTTGTGTGTACTGGTGAAAAAGCAGAAATGCAAGGGTGTGTGATCACCTGCATGAACACATTTTATGAGAGTTGATCCAAAAGTAATGTCACAACTTCGCTATCCGTCGACGTAAAACAACAAATTTATAAATGATGAAAGCTACATTTATTTCAAATCACACCTGAAAATTTCAATTCAACATTATACTTTTCAAAATATCGGATTATATACAACGTGCGATTATGGTATAGTCGCCGCAGCTAAATAACGTCATTTGACGGATACGCACCGTCATACATTTAAGCGCTTCCCTTCGTTTCATTAAAAATATTTGAAATTTGATATCCACAAACACGTTCACAAATTTCACTTTCTTACCCTTAGTACCCATTGTAAACTCACTCTTTTCATAATTAATTCTGTCAAAATTCATTGAACAGTTAAGTAAAAGGCCAACTAGAAATTTCACATATCGCTCTATCCGTCTGTCTTTTCGACAACGTCACGCACCATTGAACATTTCGTCCGCCCTCCCATGCATCTTTCGGTTTTCTTGTCATCTGCTGAGCATTTAATGACCCTTAAAAAACTTCTATGACGTCAACCATTGTTATTAGTCTACGTATATTTTACTGATTCAATCAGCACTAGTTGGATATTCAAAATATCCAACCGACAGGCAGTTGAATATTCAAAATATCCAACTGCCTATCGGTTGGATATTTAAATACCAAACTGAGGTGTAGAAAACGTTTAACAATGAACAAAGGAGATAACACAATTTTAAAATGTATTTCCAATGCATATTAAAAATAATTACTCCAAATTTGCCACACTATTAGAATTAATTTCCAGTAATCACGGACCGTAATAACTTCACATTTAGTGTGTTTCAAATGCACTCCAAATGCTCACAGAAATCATAGGCACTTGCAATTGGGGTATGGACCCCCCCTTTCCATTTTTTTTCTTTTTAAATCTGGGTTCGAGTCACCTTTTTCCTATTTTTCTATTCTAATATGCACTATATGTTATAAAAGCTGTTTTTAAAAATGCCGTTTTTCACTGATACATATAAAGAGAGATTCTCTCTTTATAAGTATCAGTGAAAAACGGTATTTTTAAAAACAGCTTGTAGAGACAAAAGAGTTGCATTTTTTATAACATATAGTGCATACACACATGTATTAGAATAGAAAAATAGGAAAAAGGTGACTCGAACCCAGACTTAAAAGGAAAAAAAATGGAAAAGGGGGGGGGGGGGGCATTACCCAAGTGCCTATGACAGAAATAAGAATTCCGTCGAATTACCGTAATAACTTCACATTTATTGTGTTTCAAATGCACTTCCAATGCTCAAAGAAATAACAATTCCTTAGAATTTTGCACACTTTTAGGAATGTTTTCGGTCTTAAATCTTGAAAGCATCACTTTTTATCACATAAACACATTTTCACCTTGAATCTTAACCTGCATAACCTCTTATTGCTTAATATTATTACAGCGTCCGTCATCCATAAATCCCTTCAGATTATCAAATCATCAGTACTTCCCAAAAGAACTTGAATAATTGACAGCCCATCTACTTTTCGACACCATTTTGATTGAAGATCTTCATATGGAATTTTTACAGCAGGTTCAGCATAACACCGCCAATCTCTTTATCTGTTTAAGCACTATTACAAGTATTGTCCGAATGAAACTCCATAAAAATTCAACGCTTTTCCTCAACAAACCATCATCTAATGATATGTAATGACAAAATCCCAACCTTTTCACAAAATCCTGTAGTTTTCTTCAGCTTTCATGTCAAAAGTATCCATAACACTAGCTGAACCTCTCTAATTTACATTTATTTGGATTTAAAAATACTGTAAAATCACATATTTTCGTGCGGTCAAATTTTAGTGGTTTGAGGAAAATCTCTTGGTTCGTGGGGATTTGATTTCGTGTATCAACAATTAATTAGTACT